CCTTGGAGTCGCCACCTCGAGCCTGAGTTTCAATCATATGAAGCAACTTCGGGACCAGCATATGATGTCCATCCGTAGACAATATAACACGCTATATGCCCTCCAAGTACGTGAAATGAATCAGATTCAAGATCGTGTAACCACCTTATTTGTAGTATGCCTATGAGAGTACAGGACGTTATTCAAGAAAAGGGAGGCAACGCTAGGAACTAGGAACTCAGATTATGTAATTAAAAAAGAATTAGTTGCTTTTTATTCTCGTTTGAAAGAGTGTTCATTTGCTTTATTTTACATTACGATTTATTAAAATGAATTTTTGTTATTTTTTTTTCCTTTAATTGTGGTCTTATACAAACAGAATATGTCACACTGTATTGAGGTAAAAAGTAAATTTTGTAAAGTAAGTTTTGAAATTTATTTAATTTATATGCCATTTAAATTAAGACAAAGTAAATTAACAATATATAAACCAAAAATGTCTGACTCAGAACTAGAATTTGAACAAACACAATAACAAAAACCACAACCACAAATGATTATTTATAAAATGACTGATATGGATTAGATCATATTCAAGATTTTTACGGTGACTCTAAAGATGTTTATTAATTTTTATCTGAGGTTAGGGATGTTTTTCATTATGTTTGCAAGGCTAGTAATACCTTAGCACTAGAAAATCACGCAGCCCTTCTAAATAAAGTAAAATAAAAAATTAAGGGGGAAGCGAAAAATCACATCTGAACTCAACATTTCGAGAATTTAGATGAACTTCTAATTGTTATCGAAAATAATTATAGGGACCAGAAGACTACAGGTCAAATAGATATGAACTTATGTCTATGCGTCCACATAAGTATGAAAATCTTATAGAATTCATTAACAGGGTATAATCCGAATTATCAGTATTAATTTCAAGGATAAGAATTGATAGCGATATTACATTTCTAGATGGTCATATTAAGTACATAAAAGAAAGGATTACCCATCATGTAATTGGTTGCTTAACGATAGAATTAGGCAACTATATGAGAATTTTTGATCCTAAGAACCTTATTAGGTTAAGGATCAAGTTATAAAATGAAGGTTTACCTTTACTACAACTTTTTCCTAAAAAAAGTTACAATAATAATAAAAATGAAAAAAAATCCCCATAAACAAGAATATAATAAAAAATAGTAAGTCACCTTATCACCAAACATTAGATCATAACAACTTAGAAGAAAGAGGTCATAATAAATAAAACAATGACAGACATAGATATGAACAACAAAAACACTACCAAAACTAGGGTAGATATAGAGATGATAAGCCACAAGCATGAAATGAAAAAGATAATTGGAGACAAAATGACAAATCATATAATGAACAATTTCCCTCAAGACTGTTTAAACCAGATTCACAAAATACGGTTTCTATGACATCAATAGATAATGTAAGATGTTTTCAAGAAAATTTGAATGAATTAGTTTTAAAAAATAAGAAATTAGAAAAAGATGTAGAATTAATAAAAACCAAGTTATGCCTCTGTTTTATCTCAAATGCCGCTCTAATTCCATTTTCCCAAAATTTATCGAAAACTCTTGTAACCGCAGTTCAATATCACCTCCGTTTAACTCAAAATTATTAACTTCCACTTTTAAATTCAAAAAATCTCTGCTTAACTTAAAAATCCGCAAAACTATTCAAAATATTAATTTTCTCAAAAACAATTTTCAGTTTTCACCCAATTTTTAGATCATAACATCAATCAAGAAGATGTCAATAATATTTCCGTTTGCATCTCAAATATTTTCAATTCCACAGAAGAAACTAATAGTAATTTCATAAATTAAAAAATCTGTACCAAGTTACTCTTAAAAAGTTTATCCTGCAGGAAAAGAAGAATGGGTAGACAATATCTCATTCACAGACATCCCTTCCAAAGTTAATATTTTAAGTTTAGGACCTAATTTTTCCATAAAAAATGTGGAAAATCAGAGCTCAGGAGAGTGTCTTAGGCTGAATTATTTTATGACCACAAGATACAAATATAGGATCTGATCTCATGAATATTACTGACAAAAATCAACAATATGAACTAATCTCGGATTATCATGCCAGCAAAACAACCTAACCATATAACGAAAAATTAAAAATTTAATAGTCTTGTTTTTTTGTTAATCAAATTATTAATTATCATTGTATACATTTATTTTAATTAAAAATTAACTTTGAACATTAACTAAAAGTTTAAATTTACTATTAATTGATAAAACGTGTAAAAAGAAAATTCGTAGAGCCAATAGTGAAAGAAAAAATATTAAAATAATGACATTTCAAATGACCTAGAAAAATCATGGTCACCTTTAATATTTTTGTGGCAACCCAGCTGATTTATTTTCTATGCAGATTAAGTAAAGGAAATATATATTTGTGTCAAGGCAATACTTTAACAATTAATAATCACATTATGTAACTTCCTTTCGTCAAGTCTAGATTAAAAGGTAATGCTAGAAATATATTACAAAAGTAATATTTATAAAAATAAAAAAACAAACCAAAATTCAGATGTGCCAGATTTACTTAAAAATCTTTTTAAACATCGCGAAAACCCATTCGATTTTATTAATAAAATAATCACGATTCCCACAACATTATTCACACGAATATGTACTGACGAAGAAATAATTAAGTTGCTAAAGTCTGAATTAAATATAAGTTTATAATTTAACAAAAATAACGATAGAACATTGAAACCTTTGATAATTTATTCAGTTTGTTAAAATCAAGTATTGGAAAGCAATTCTGTAAATGATACCCACTGTATCATTTTCTAGAACTGGTTGAAGTTTAGTGTTGGATTTATCAGTGGGACTAATTACAACAGATGCAAAAGGATATACTATTGACTAGCACTGTCATTGAGATTTCTGCATAACATCTTCATTTGCTTTAGCATAAAAAATTCTAGAGAATCATCTGGTGTAAAAACAAATGAACTATCCTCCCTGCTTCTCTGAGTAAAAGTATATATAAGAAAAACATGGACTTAGAGCTCAACACTGGCCAAGGGAGTTATGAGAGAACTGGCATCTATGGATCAAGTACATTCACTTCACATATGTTTTAAATGGTCTCATCCAGAGAACTAGAATAAGTTACATATTACATAATATATATATATAAATAGCATTCTTTTTTTTCAATATGAATCACTTTAATCATGGATGACAGACTCTATTTATTGACAATGCCAATGCTTGAGAGGCAGTCATGTAGCAGACTTATGAATGTTTTATTCTCAGTCAAGAAAACAGACAAGACTTTTTCAAGCACGCCAATCGATCTAACCCTAGAGCAGACCACAAAAGCTGCTGACACTAACGAATTGAGGAAACTGGTGAAGTTTCCTCTACTAATTGCATCTCGGCTTGTCGAAAATGGGCCTACTATAATTCTTAGAGAGACTTGATAGTTAGCAATTCTAGCAGAATCAACAACGGTAACTATGCATGATACAATCAGGGATGATGAACCCCTATCTTTGCTTAGAGAAACCTACTAGTGAAGTGGTTTAAGACAATCTAATAAAAGTATTTGACACAGGAAATTTTGAACTTCCCAGATTTCAAGAAGATTTAGGTAAAGAAAATTAACGCTTTTAAAGGCCTCTGAGACTGAATAACACAAAACTTGGCGTCGAAATGACAATATTTAAAAATAAGAACATGAATGAAATCAAAATGGAGAGAGATTTACACGGTCTTTAAATAACGTTATTATCATAGATAGTTTTTATTTAATATATTTGAGGATAAACAATATCCCTAGCGGATAGAATGGAATAGCTCACGAAATTAAAAACATATTTAAATTAAAAATAAACGAAATTAAAAATCCCTCAGAACATTTAATATTTGATCTCTTAAATCAGAGATCTTGAGAGACAAGAATAAAAAGGAATGGGTCACGACAAATCATAAATTCATATTAAACCCGAAATCTTTAATAAAAACAACCAACTAATATAATGAAGACCTTGTGTGATCATAATTATAAAGACACTTTAAGTGACATTCCTTTATAAGGAATAGAAAAGGATGAATAAAACTTACTTTGCCAAATTTTGTTTATACATAATAAATAGTGCTTTGTTTTATAAGTGGTATAGCAAATGATATAAAATATAAGTTAGTATAAAATCTCTAAACAACAAATTTCAAAGCCAACAAACTGCCAATCAAAATTGTCTTCTATCAATACTAAGAATGCTTACCAGGAAGTAACATTGATTTGAAGGAGAAGATAATAAATTTATCATACCGAATAGAGGAAAAGTAAAATTTAGAATCCTGAAAAGTAAAATTTAGAATTTATAAAAGTATAATTTACTCCTGTTCTTAACGAAAGTAAAATGTAATAGCTGACACTAGAAGCCCAAGGAAAGGAGAAGGAACTCTTAAAGGAATTTAAACACAATTTATTGCGTTTTATTTGGACAGAAGGATAAGGTATTTGAAGAATTTAAAAGGCTTAACAGCTTGAATAATGAGCGCTGTTCTGATTTCTAAGTGTTTTAGGAGTCGGCCGAAATGTAGATGGAGAGGATTATGTTGTGTGGCCTTATAGAACTAAGTATTTGTTGATACTTATAATTGAGGATTCAATGGATATGTAGTAATAAAGATAAAACTCTTGCTGAAAGGAAGCAGTTAAGCAAGGATCAGAATGACTGGCAGCACTGGATTAAAGTCTCTCTATGCCAATAATGGCTCAAAGAGGAAGTGCAATGAGGTTTGAGGGAAGGGAAATTTGTGAGCAAAGACTGTTCAGGGTCCACACTTTTTCTATGTTCAAAAATTAATGTCATCATTGAAGTGTTAAAAGGGGTTTGGTTAATTCATGTTCTAACCAGTGTTTTATATAAACTGAGAAAACCTGTATCCCAAGATAGATTTTATTCAGGTACATAAATGATTACGTTTTTAGGAAATCCACTTGAAAGTCAATTTTGTCCAAATAATAACAAAGCCCTATTCAGTATGAAATTAAAACAGATTTAATAAAACTATGAACATGTTATTTATAAAAGGAAATCAAAATCAAATAAATATGTACAAAAGACATGCATTGTTGAGATTACTCTTGGACCCCGATGATGGGCTCAGAGGCACTTTCAACAATCAACATGATCGAACCCTGTTCATTAGTTGCACTCCGTACACATTCCACTTGATGGCTGGACCAATCTTTCCTCTGGCAAAAGGTGGAACAGTAAGGAGTTCTACGGCAGAGCGAACATTCAGCATAGGCATCCCTATTGCAATTCGCACACTGCAACAAAAAAGTATATATATATCAGAAAATCATAACCACAGGCTAGAACACAATGAAAAAAATTCTAATGTTTAAGGATAAAATCTAAAAATCACTATTCAGAACAAGAAAATAATTTTTTTTTTTTTTTTTTTCTAGTAAGTAGGGACAGAGTCAGCATAGCTTCGTCACCATTTCTACTGGTTATGTTATCACTTTTATTTCAAGGTCTATGATTTGTTGTTAGAGAATAAAGTCTGTATGAGAAACAGTTTTTTTAAATATAGTCTTGTTAAGGAAAATTGTACATCAAAGCGTAAGAAGACGACTGAATACGATGAAATTGATATTGGACCATCTATATAGAAATCTTCAAAATTTCTGAAAATTTCACCCAATGCATGGTGACATCATATCTTATGTCACAACTTCAAATAGTTATTCAATCTTCTTGCCCATGCAGATCATAGTCCCTCCTACTATGATTACAGAATAAAAAAAGTAAAAAATGGAGTAAATTTTGTGATGTTTTTAAAAATAAATTTGACTTAAAAATTTTATTTAAGACAAAACAAAATATTGGTAGAGCCTGAAAACTAACAGGATCAATAACAGCATGAATAATAATACTTCAACCATATAAATAATTACTCACAACTGACTAACTTGCCACAATATATTCATAAGTCACTTATTATGTTATATTACAGGATGTGTAGTTGGTTTTTAAAAGAAACAAAAGCTTTGCCTTATTTAGGGCTGCTAATTGAAAGTAGATTTTACATTGAAAGTGGTAGATATTTCAATTCAACCAGTGTGCATTGAATTCCGATTTTTCAACAGATGTTGTCCTAGTGAATATTGTTTTATGGGTTATTTTTCCTACTAAAATTGCAAATGTAGTTTTGTTGTTATATTTATTGCATATTCAATTAATCAAATCGATTAATTAATTTATCACAACATGTTATTAAGTTTCATGAGATCAAACCTTTTTTGGGGGGGAGAGAGAGGGAATGCTACTGTGATATGTAAATCTAATAGTTGGTAAATAAATGTAGTTCTTAAAAAGTGTTGAATACTTTTTCAATTATTTATGAATATATTTAGCTGGTTTTATCACAAATGTCAATTAACTTTTAAAATAAAATTTTCTTTGTTAACATTTTTTTCTACATTTTTTTATTTTTGTTATCATATTTTATTCGACCATAATAAAAGATTGATATTTCAGCTATAATGCAGAGGTAATAATGAAATATATAAGGAATCAATCAAACAATACAGTATAAATTAACTTTTTGAATAAAACCTAAAATTTTATGACCTCATAAATATATTGTATTAAACTAACCCCTATGCTATCTGATCAATGCCTTCCACATTTCACACTCACTATATAGTTAACAGTTATTTATATTCATTTTAATTATTAAATGGAATTAGTATTATTTTCAATGGTATTACCAATTATTCAATGAAATTGGTACTATACAATTTTTAAACTATTCTCCAAATTACCTCCAAGGCTGGGAATTGAACGAGCCGTTTTCAAACTATAGGCGTGTCAAATAACAAGTTTACTGATTCAAAAGCAAATTTTTTTTTTTGAATAGTTAGTTTAGAAGATTAGAGATAGCATTTAATAAAATTGATACTTACTAACTTATCTGTTAACCAATCCCTAACTGCCCTCCAAATTTGAGCCAAATTGAACATGCGGTTTTAGAGATATAGGCATATCAAGGAAAACTTTGTTTGCGCATATGTCACGGATGGAATTTGATAAAATTGATATGGGACCCATATAGGCACCAACCGTTCAGGCGATCCCTGAAAATTTCATGAAAATTGGTTGAACAATAGTAAGTGGTATGCCCATCGCATCAATTTGATCACATCATATCAAAGACAGGCAGACAACAAATCAAATTTGATCTTTGATGTCTGAAATATAAAACGCAAGTGGAAATTTTGGATTCTGAGCATGATATTTTGTTAAACCTCTAGCACAAATACAATGATTTGTATACTCATAAAGTGAGTAGCCTAAATTAAATAATTAATAAAGAGGGAAAACCTGACGATTGAGCATGATCTCAGTCAAATTACCTTTAACAACTGTTGACTAAGAAACAGTACTGAATCCAAGACCTTTCATGGGTTGTAGTCGTACAGATCTTGTGAATGTTCACCAAAGGATAAAAATTGAAAATGATGCCCTATTAAAAATAAGTGAGGAATAAAAAAAATAAAATATTAAATTTACCTTTTTATTATCATTGTTATCTTCAGAGGGTTGCAGTCCTACTGTTGAATTAGGATCAACAACATGAACAGTGGAATCAAATACAGCCCTGTAAAATTACGAACTATTTAAAATACGTTAATATAATAATAAATTTTAATAAATATGATTATTTCATAAAAAAAAAAAAAAAAAAAAAAAAAAAAAAAAAAAAAGAAAAATAAAAAGTTCAGCAAGTCAGTTCCACAAAATGGTCTGAAGATCAAAAACAAAAGGTCACATAAAACTTTAATTACATCTACAAGGTAGCTATGCCTGAAACAGGATATTTTTGGCAACTTACCGGAGTCTCCAGTATACAGCATTTAATATCCAACAACTGACCATATTTCATCTATCTATCTATATTCATTTCCAGATCTATTGATGAGAGCCTATGGTGTAGCAAGTTTGCATACAAGGTTCTCTTCTCAGGATTGTTACAGAGATGCACTATGAAGAAAATTAAAATGAGGGCAAAAAGAACAGAACGGTCAAGTGAAGAAGTAAAACATGTAGTGGCAAGCAATCAGGAAGGTATGAAATAATACATAACAAATAAGTCTCAGCAAAACTGGTCCGTCTACGTTCAAAAGAGGAATCTCAAAGATACTGTTAGGGAGTCGAAGAGAAATTCTTAGAAAGGATTTGGGAGAAAATTAGACCAGGATTACAGATAAGGAAGTAGAACAGAGATAACATTAATAAGTTTTGGATGAAAGTAAAAAGCCTAACAGGAAAATGCATGAGAGAAATGAAAATGGAGGCATAGGAATCGATACCGCTGGCATTCTATAGGGCGATATTTGCAGAGCAAACAGCAGGCTCTGAACAATCAATTCCCAATCCAGGTGAACAAGATGATGAACAAGACTAACATTTAGACACAATATGAAAAGAGAAAGTTGAAGCGAATATAGAAAGTATTAAGTTTGAGAAAGCAGCAGGAAGGGACATTTTTCAAGAATTCATTAAGTACGGTGGAAAGGAAACAATTAAGGTGCTACAGAACCTATTCCAGAAAATTTATGAGAAAAAGAAAATCGTGAAATGATGAGAATACAACATTATTGTAGTCACCCACAAGAAGGAAATCATAAGAGAGTGTGGTAATTACAGACCAATATGTCTCTGCTAGGTGGTATATAAACCTCGATTTTAGAAAAGAAACGAAAGCCATTAGTTTAAGAAAATCTGAAAGATGAAAAAGTAGTATTCCACACTGGACATCTTTCACATGACCCATGACCATATCTTCCCTTTCAGAATGATAAATTGAGGCTGCCTGCCCATACTGCCTTGTACAGCTTGGGAAGGGACCCCAAAGGCTAGGAGAGGTTAACCCCAACATAAAACCGGGGCAGTTTGGGCTCTTAGCTTTGGTGAAAGCAACCAGACTAGGAGACGGAAAAATCGATAAAAAATGACTTGGTCCGCCAGGTTGACGGTAGAGCGCAGGGTCAACAACCCTGCCTTGTAAAAAAAATCTACTGTTAAAAAAACCAACAATGAGATAAAGGATGGAAACGATGGTAAATGGAAAAGGAACTCGGACCTGGTTTTTGCTACTTGGAACATCAGGACGATGCTAAAACTGGGCAAGATTCTTGAAGTAGCTGAGCAGGCAATTGCATTTAATATTGACGTTGTAGCCCTGCAGGAGATCCGATGGGATCAGCAGGGAAGAATAGATAAGAATGAATATTCATTGCTGTATAGTGGAGCAAAGAAAAGTGGACAAAGAGGAACTAGTTTTATGCTATCTAAGAGAGTACGACACGCAGTGTTGTTTGAACCTATTAGTGATAGACTCCGTTGAATTCGCTTTAAAGAAAGATTCAGAAATGTGACATTATCAGCCTATGCTCCAACAAATGAGAATGATGATGATGATGATGATAAACTAGCTTTCCATCAGCAATTAGAAAGAACACTTTAAGTTAGCTCTAAATATGATATAAAAATTATCATGGGCGATCTGAATGCACAAGTTGGGATACAAAGCTGTACAAAAAGTGTTGCTGGAGTCCACTCGCTTCACAAGGAAACAAATGATAATGGTAATGATTTATGGCAATTTGCTGAAGCAAATAACATGATAATAATAAGCACTCACTTTCCTCATAAAAACTTTTACCTTGTAACTTGAAAGGCACCCAATGGCTCCATGGACCAAATAGATCATGTTCTTATAAATAAGTGATATTCCTCTTTGATGTCAGAGCTGCTTGAGGACCCAATTATAACTCTGATCATAATTTAGCGAAGATTAAATTTATGGAATGCTTAGCTAATGTAAAATTGGGAAAGCTGTAAAAACGGAAAGCCTGGGACTTGGAGAAATTCAAACAACCTAAGAAAATAATGCAGTATAAAAGCGTAACTGATGATAAAATGAAGGAAGAATTTGAACTGAAAAAAAGGACTGATGAGAAAATGAGGATAGAGGAGAATTGGAGCAGAATCAAAAAGGTCATAGAAAGGGCTGCGTATGAAGTAATTGGTGGGAAAGTGAAATTTTGAAATAAGGGATGCTTCGATGAAGAATGTCGAAAGACATTCAAGTTAAGGAACGAATATAGATTAATTATGATGCAACGATCCACAAGACAGAATTCATCTAACTATATTTGAGTCGTCAAAGAGCTAAAAAGATATAAAGAAAGAAAAAGGAATATTTGAAAAAGCAGATAGAACAGATTGAGGGAATAAAGACCAATAATGAAAATTTTATGGAGCAATTAGATATATTTATCGAGGCTTCCAGCCAAAGACTGAGACTTGCTAAGACAAAAATAGAAATGTTGAAGGAAAGACGAAGGTGATAAACAGATGGGTGGAATACTTCGGTGAGCTAGTAGGTTCTAGAGACAATATGAATCAAGAGACTGACTCAAATACCATCTTAAGTTTACATTATTTTCCAAGAAATGATTTACAGCCATCCAATATGGAAGACTTTTTAAAATCAATTGAAAAGCTTAAGAACAACCAAATGCTAGACGAAGATGTTATTGTTGCTGAAATCTTCAAAAATGCAGGTAAAGCTGTAATAAATCAATTATGTCCTGTAATATTTGATATCTGGGGGAAAGGAAGAATGACTAATGAATGAAGTAGCAGTCTAAATATACCCCATATATAAAAAAGGGGATAAACTTCAGTGCAAAAATTATCGCGGTATCTCACTACTAGAGGTGGGGTACAAGATATTCTCAAGTATATTGTTAAAAACATTAAGCATTTAAGCCAAAAAACATACTATGTGAATATCAATATGGTTTCTGTAGAGGGAGGGGTACAACCGACCAGATCATTGTAATGAGATAACCTATTGAAAAGTGTAGGGAATGTTAAATAGAATTATGCATAATGTTTATTGATTATCGTCAAGCCTTCGAGAGTGTCAATAGAATGGGTATGATTGAGGCAATACAAGAATATCAGATTCCCAACAAATTAATTAGATTAATTATGTCTCTTAAAAATAGTGAGGGTAAGGTACGTAGAGGTAACTTTACCTTATTAATAAATTCTCTATTGCAACTAGTGTACAGCAAGGTGAAGCTCTTTCTGACGCGCTGTTCGATCTATCCCTACATAAAGTAGTAAGCAATTTAAACATAAATGGCAATATCCTACATTCATGTAACCAGATGTGTGTTCATGCAAATTGTAACCATGCAACTCTGCTGCATCTTTATTGATTCAATCTATACGGCTGGATTTTGGTCTTCCAAATGATCTCTTGCCATGTGATAAGTGAATCTCTTATTGAACCATTCATTGTTGTTTAGAGGCTTCTTCAAGAATTGCTCCAAACTGCATGTCCCACTCATTTTAACCTCTTTGCCTTCATATCATGAGATAGTAATATATCAGTTTCTGTAAGCAGTGCATTAATAGTCCTTCTCCTCCATGCATTAGTACTCTTATCTCAGATCACTCTCGTTATCATACAGATGATTTTTTTTCTCAAATCTTTAAATAATTCTTTCAAGGGTGCTGTTAAGTGTCCAAGTCTTGCAGAATATAGAATTTCAAATGGTAACAAAGAAAAAACTGTGGAATCATTATTAAAGACAAACTAATAGTCGAGGAAGAACCCATTTACAAGTAGTTTTTTAATGAGAACAGAAATAGAAAAAGGAGGTAAAATATAAATTACCTAGAACAAGCAACTTGAGCTTCAACTCGCGCAGTAAGGACAGCCTCTTCTTTGTCCCTCTTATGCTCCAGCTGCAAATGGTTCCTCTCAGTCTTCCACTGTCCTTTCAGTTCATCCACATCTTTGCGTAGTTGTAATGCCATTTTCAAAATTTTGCTAGATGTCTATAAATGGGAAAGGAGAAAAAAAAACTAGGTTAAATATAATTGAAGATAAAAAGATATAATAGAATAAGTGATAAAAAATAATATGCATTTTGGAATCGCTGATCTTATAGTAGCCCTAATGAGAATAGGGAGATCTGAAAAATTATGGCTTTTTGAATTCACTGACAAAAGTTTTTGAATCCTTCAAGACAGGATACTTAAATGTTGTTTCTTTAAAAAATGACAAAACTATATCATGGAGAGTTTTAAGGAAGAGTAAGCAACATCTCAATTATTCAACCCAACTACTTTCATTATAGCTACTATAGGGAACTAATCTAATCAACAATATTGCTTATTAAACAATTAATAAGGTAATATAACAGTACATCAGTTTTTTTCATTTATTGAAATTATAATCAAGCTTATAAGATTATTCCTATTTAGCTCAAAATGCCTGTAATAATTACACATATACACTTTAGAAACTATTCTCGAGTTCCATTATGATCCATGTCATGAACTTCCTAACAAAATTTCTTATTTTTATCAGACAATAACAAGACAAAGAATGGATATTCAGTTATTAAATAATATTTACCTTGTCAAGACGAGCTAGTAATTCTGAAAGAGGTCCAGGAAAAGATGCATTAGAATCATCTGTCACCTGATGGCCATTACCATTAGCATTAGAATTGACTACTGTCCCAGCATTAGTCATGCTCGTTGTAACAACTTCTTGGGACGTATCCAATTCTGTGAATAAATTTAACTTTATAAGATTTATATTCAGTAAATGATAATAGGAGCGAAAGTAAATAATAAGTTCTGAACCATTAGAATCACAGCTCTCATCTCCATTGATGCCATCACACATATCTCTATTACCCTCATCTTTTTTAGTTTTTCTTATGTTTCCATCTTCGTTTTCTTTCCTTCGTTTCCTTTTATATGGGGTGAAAAGACGAACAGGCCCCATCTAGAAAAATAAATAGTTGTAAATAAGGCCTAGAATAAATACTTTTAAAAAAAATAATTTAAAAGAAACTTTATGTATCGGAAAGTCAACTTTAATCTGCACCACACTAAAAGATGAATAAAGTTCAGAATATAACAGCTAAATAAAAATTAACAGTTTGTTTATCTTTTAATATAAAGATTTATTAAATAATAATCAACAACTTAAGAACAATAAATGTGATAATTTGGCCAGACTACTGTACTTTCACATTAGATGTGAGCTTAATAAGGCTGCGGTGCATCATCATGTTGGATTAAAAAAAAAGTACAATAAATATTTGTAAGATAATTAAAAAAATATAGAGAATATCAATTTTACAAACATCAGAGGTATAATATTGATAATGATGGAAAATAGTTAATTGTAGATGATATAGATCGAAAGTTACCCGGGGGTTGCAGTCACAGAAACATAAATAAAAATTAAAAAACATTATTTTATATTTAACAATACTTGTATTTTTCACTGTGATTGCAACCCCTAACTAAATATCCTATCCGAATAATGTTTGCATCTGATATTTTCAGAATATTAACACTTCTTTAATTTCTTACCGCACGTTCATCATCACAGCAGGCAGCACAAGTACAACTTGTAGCATGAGGAGTAAGTATACCACCATCAATCAGGGACTGCAAGCTTCGACCACCAAATCTGTAATCAGAAGGTTTACAGAAATAAAGGCAATTACAATACAGTAACTAATAAATTACAATACTTATAATAAAAGAATTACATTAATTTAAAATTAAAGTAAACATGAAGGTGAAGAGGGACACTGTTGAATGAAAGTATCAATTTCCCTTACAAGTTAATCTCATAAATGTTCAATAAGATAGGCCTAATATTTCTTCTCCAGAATATCTTATTGGTGTCAATACCTTATACAAGTAATATTGAACAGTCATAGTTTAATGTCACAACACCACTAATTATGTTTAAGTAAATAAGAAAATACACTCATACTATAATTAAAACTTTTCTCTATAAGTTAAATGCAGATAAAGGTTTTATTGTTCACCAAAACATCTGGTTACTGGAGGTTTAGTGCAGAACAAATTTAGATTTATCAGTGGCAAGAAAATGATCTGTCATCATCAGTTCATGAGATATGAATCCAAACTAAAAAAAACTGTACCACTACAACCAATGGTCTCTTGGGTTTAGAACTTTGCAAGGAAGTAGTTACTAGGTCAACGGTTGTGCAAGAAGTGATTAGTGTAAGGAGGAATTGATTTGACCAAGATCTTGCTCAATCGTCAGATTTCCCCCTTAATCACTACTTAATTAAGAATAACAACTTTATAGATGTGGGGTGTGCACCAGGAGGGTCTCCTGATCCCAAGCTTCATCCACAGTTATTAATACAAAATAAATAATCACCTGCCACACCCAAACTCAAACCCGGAACCCACAACATAGGAGCAAAATTCTTAACTCAGAACCCCACTCTCCTCAACCACATTAAAGTCTTAAATAATAATTAAGCACAGCCATTTTCAACAAAGAAATAAACTACAAATTTCATTTAAAAATGTTATTACCTAATGCTCCTCTTCCAATCTTTACTGGATGCTCTCCCACAAACAGCTTCAAATTCACTTGGGGTATACCAACTATTTCCAAGCTTGATGCAACGACCTCGACCTCCAGAACCAAATCTGGATTTGTAAAGCTCTCCACTTGTATTCTAAGAATTTAGAAATTGTTATTTATATAATGACTGTGATATAAGAAATTGGAAAAACAGTAATGAAATCTAGATTCATAATGTCATTGATTATATATTTAACAAATAAATTAGTCTTTCAGAGAATTATTTATATCACTTAAGACAAATTCCTTTTCTTTTTTTTTCCTTTTTTCATCCTTTTTTTTTGTGAACGATTAATGTATATAATATTTTATTTGCCCAAAGCAGGTAGTTCGTTCTTTTTACCACAGAATTGTTTCTAGCTTAGGAGAATAGAAGAGTTATTCTTCTGTCCTTCAAGCCTTCAGATCATGACCTCGGCATTATGTTATACTATAGTTACTTATATTAATTCAAATAGCAAAAAAAAAAAAACACTATAAAACTGTCAACTATTATTGAATTTGCTATTACAATTGGAATAGAAAATACAGGTTTTCGTGTTTTCTGAAAATTTGTCAAAGGTTATTAGGGTTCACTTTGGAAATAAACAACTCATATCATTTATCTGTTCAATTATATTAAAATGGAATAGATAAATAATAAGTAACGCTTTCATTTTTTTATGTTCACATCTAATCACTTATGATGATGTGACATTTATCACTTATGATGATAAATTTTACAATTAAGTGATAAAATCATATTGATATAACTACAAAGATGATCATGCAATTAAAACTTCTTACCTTGCACCTAACAGGAATGATTGGCTGACTAGCTGAAGCCAACCATGAAGCATTATTGGGGATGCCAGAGTCATCATTATTTTCAATGACTATATGTGTCGCCTTTAGAACATCCTAAAAATTGTAGCAATCAATATCATGAATGAGATAAATAAACACATAACATTTTATTTTTATTTTTGTACATACAGTAAACTCCTAGTTAACCGGCTCTCCAGATTAACTGGGGGCAGCGGTAAAAGAAAAAACAATTTTCAACATCTTTAAAAGTACTTATAACTTAGTGAGATTCTCAACCACTAATAATAAATTGAATTTTTGTTGTGTTGGGATTCGATGGATTTTAAATAGTTTGAAATGTAGACAAAAAATGTTTTTGTTCTTTATTTTTTTACAATGGACCAAACCTCAATAAAACAAATCTATTTGAAGTAAAATTGATTCTTGATCTTTATCCTTCATTTATTTCATAGAAAAAAGAAAAAAGAAATGAAGAAGGAATACTGCGTAATTATCGACACAATACTGTTCAGAACTGAAACTGCTTATTTTATAAACAAGCACGTTTATATTTGAGGTTTAATTGGCTTCGAAGTATGGCTTCGAACGTTTCAGATATCACTCAGTGCAGCCAGGGATGTTTTAGATACAATTTTACACTATGTCAAACAACAAGAATCGGCTACAGCGTTGGATATTCCTTTTTGAAAAAAAGAAGAGAGACATTAAGTTTGGTAAAACAAAAAAAAAACTTATTGTTTGAAAAACTGACAAGATTGTAAGTAGAAATTTTTGTAAATCGTTAAATTGAATTGGTCAAAAAATGTTATCTTCTTGGATTAATAAGTATATAACCTTTACTGATTACGTTGTGTGCTATATTTTGATTTGTTTACAATACAGAAGTTAAAACAATATTGGATTTTTTTTTTTAATTTTATACCCTCCGTATTAACCGGCTCTTCCACTTAACCAGCGTTGTCTTTGTCTCAACGAGGACAAAAAAGGGGAGTCTACAGTAGTTAAATTCATAAGGAGAATGTCACTTAAGATGGTCAACGTTATAATGGACCAGCCAAAAAGCCAGAGAAATAATAGCCTCCATTAGATATTACCATAAAATGAGGAACTTTAAGAGTAATGTTAACTCTCATTACATAAAGTTCTTCTGTTTTACAGTATTTAATTCACCTAAACAAAGTATATTATCGAATTCAATCATAACTAAAAGAGAGATAAGTGTGTGCATGTAATACAGATGATGAAATAAAATATCTCTACTATGATATCATAATACCAAAAATTAAAATGAACACCTTAAGTTAATACTTAAGAGCAAGTGATTCTAAACTATTTTAACAATCATTAAGTTTGTCACTCATAAATACACATCAATTCCTAGACAAAAATCTGTGAAAAAAACACTATTTCATAATCACGTCACATAAAAAATATTTGGAAAATTATTATTTTTAATTTTTATAAATAAAATGTGTTTTTAGGAAATTATGTGGATTACCATACATCCCATATCCCAGAAAAAACAATAAACAAAGCTATTTAACAGTTAATTGTAGGCATTTTTGCAGAATACAAACAAAGGAGTACTTTGAAGTGACTGGATAGGAAATTATATCCTTCCTTTACGCAACTTGAGGTGCATCTCAATGTTTTCCCTATTGAATCTTAACTTAATTAATACATACTTAAAGCTTACTAAACGAGGAAGCTTTTGTAAAAGTGGGATAAATGTAGTGTAGTAAAAGGATGATAAAAAAAAAATCACATATCATTTTCTGTGAGGACATAGAGATCGGTCTCCCTCAGCAATTTGGCCCTTCGTGACTCGAAGGCGGTGAAGTTTATAATGTGTTCAGCAGTCTCTCGTTATAAACGGACATACGGGGTCTTTTCCAAAGCCATGGAGGTTGGCACAAAACTGCCATACCCTGTAAGGAATTGCGAGATCCAGTAATCCAGGAGGGCCCATTTGTCTTTTAAACGTGATTGAGCAGTGGAAAAGTACTTCCTGAAGGTGGCTCCTTTCCTTTCTGGTTTGTCATCCACCGTTGATTACACTCTTCAATTACATCCTCTCGGATTATAATTTTCCATTTTCTGGGGTTTTCATCAATCTTTACTTTGAGATTTCCCGGTACACCTGCTGAACCTTCTTTCTTGTATGCATACTTTAACATATCTTCTCGCAGGAGGAGTTTGAGAAGCATCCCTCACGCTAATACCTGCACCGCCTCATGAGACACACTCTTGTAAGCCCTGGAGACTCTCAGCAGAGCCGTTCCCTGGATTGTCGCCAACTTGCTCTTCTGTCAGAGAGAGAGAGATTACGATTCCTGGCAGGAGACGCATACCTCAGAATACCTACAATCTTACCTTTATAAATAGTCATTGTTGGCGGGTATCTGAGGCTCCAGAAAGCGCTCCCTACTCGACTAAGGCCATTCATAGATTGGGCCACCCTATTAGCCAGATAGTCCAAGTGAAGGTTGACATTGAAAGCTCTTCCAAATCTGACATCAAGGTAAGTGACCACCTCACTTAGACGTATTCTTGTACCTTGAATCATTACATTGATTGGGTGTGCCCTATCTGTTATTCTTTTCAAGAGAATAGCCTGGGTCTTGGAAGCAGCCATTCTCAACTTAATTGGTAGCTCCTTACCAAGGCGTATATGTTGCTGGGAGCTTCAAATTTCTGCAACTGATGGGAGTCACCAGACACTGTCAAAGGCATAGGATATGTCAAAGATCAACATGATATATCGCTCCACTCTCAGATCTACGTCCACAAGCACTCTCAACAGGACATCAACGGTTCTCTTGCCTTTCATAGAGCCGTATTGCTGTGGATGCTTTGCCCTAGCAAGAACTGATAAAATACTGGTCATAATGAAGTTCTTTAAGACCTTGCTCATCAAAGGGAGAAGACATATAGATCTATATGACTTAGGGAGCTGCTTATCCGCTACTCTCCCTTGTAGAGGAGTCTCAGATCAGCGACCTTCCAACTTTTGGGAATGTATCCCCTATCTAAGCAATTATTTTAGATTCCCAAAAGCTTCTCTTCAAGGGGATACTATTCTTTAGGATAGCCATGTCTATAGCATCAAGTCCTGGAGAACGACCAGTTTTCTGTCGATCCACGGCAATACAGAGACCATGTATGTTCCAGGGTGGGCACAAGTCAGTACCAGGTGCATCTTACAAAATTCTCCTGTTCACTGCCCTGGGACAGATCAACACTGCCCTGGGGTACATCACCCTACTAAAGATGTCTGCTGCTTCCTCAAGGATCGTTGCTTGGGCATCTTCATGCTTGAGGGATGCTAGTGTTTGCTGTGTTAGTTGCTGTGTACCGCTGCAGACTTTTGGCAGACTGAATTTAAAAAAATGCATTTATGGGATAATAAATTTACCAATCTTATTAGCATTGTAACTATAACTACAATGAATGTGTGTCATAAAAGGAAGAAATAACACTGTTTGACTTTTTTAGACTGCAGCTATCTTCTGGCAGACTCTAATATAAAAATTGCAATTTTAGAAATCAAGATTCATCGTTTTTAGGAAGCATGAAAATGTTTTGTTTAAGAGAAGGAAATAACGTTTTCTGCTTATGTTAGCATCCACTGACAGACTTAAATTCAAAAATAACCATTTCCGGTATAAAAAAATATTAATTTCAAGAGGCTGGAAAATTTAAAATAAAAAAAGTATTTAGTTTATAATAAAAAAAAAAGTTGTCTGGCAATGCTAAGCCGAATGCAATTTCTGGTCGAAAAATTCACCAATTTCAGGAGGCTTGGAAATTTAAAATATAACACCAGATTAAAAAAAAAAATTTAAAACTCTAAATTTTGACTTAGTTGAAGATTTTTGTCTCACTTCTTATTATTCCATTGCATCTTTACCTTAGAGCAGTCAGCCCTGATGATGGCCTGAACTTCAGGTCAAAACGTCGGCATATGTAAAAATAAATATTATCATTTATTTTTGCCTTCTTTTTTGACTGACCACCCCAACTATTCTTCTCTTCATTATCCACGACAGTCAACCATTTACCAATTATAATTATATTCCATTCTTTGAGAACTCAAAATGAAGTATAGAGAGAAATTTAATTAACACAATGTTTGACTTAGGGATTTTTTGCTATTTAGGAGATGAACATATTAAAAATACCTATTCCTTGGAGAGGATTAAGATGTTGGGCCCCCAGAAGATCACCTTTTTTTTTCCTTTTTGCCGCTTATATCAGGAAAACTATGCGACCTAATGATGAAAACATTCTATATAAAATTAAAGCTTGCAAGTTTTGTAACTGGAGTGATAATATTATTTTTTTTCCTATCTAGTATAGTTTCTTAGATATCAGACCTCTTAATTTGTTAATTTAGAAAAAAAATGTTTGTTCGTATTTTTGTTGTTATTTGACTAGCTAACTTCTAGTCTTTTCAATCTACGAAAAATAAATGAGAAAGCAAGTCGTTGAACATCAAAGTTTTTTTAATTTTATTTTACTATTTTTATCTTTAACATCTTTCAAAACTTGAAGCAATTACATAAAACTTATAATGGTTTATATAAAGAATGTAAGCAGTTTTCTGAAAAATCTATGTCTTCACACAAGTAGCTATATTTAATTGCTCCGACTTTTGAAGAGTTGAAGATAGAATAATAAAAATATATATATATCTTTGAAGAACTGTAATGTTTTATCTTCTATTTTTTCGTAGAAAGAAAAAGTAAAGAGTTAGCTAGTTTTTAGTAAAATAAGGACAAAAAAGTGAGACAAAACTTGTGATTTTCTAAATTAGTGAATTACGAAACTGGTTATCTAGGAAACCATGCAGGATAGTGAAAACATGAATATAATCAATCCTGTTGCAAATTTTGTCAGCTTCAATTTTATATACAACATTCTCATCGCTTTGATACTTAGTTTCCTTATATAAATGGAAAACAAAAAAAGTGACCCACTAGAAGCCCATCGTTCATATCTCACTCTCCTGTTAGAAATTGAGACTTTGGTATGATTACTTCCTAACTAGTTAAAATTAAATTCCTCAGTAAAATAATCATTCCCTGCCTATT